CCGGCCCCCGGGGGCCGGGCGCAGCCCGCCGCCGGGAGCTGCTCTTCCGCAGTCACATAACCCTAGCCGTCCACCTTGCGGGCGGGTGGCCTGCCTGGCTCCCGCCCGAGGCCGACCGGCACCCGAGGAATCGGCAAGGTACGGTTAGCCATTGCAGTCGTTACTGCCGCGTAAATGCGACTGCTGAGGGCAGGGAAAGTGTAATACGTTCCTTTCTCCCTCATCCCCACGTGAGTGTAGGCTCTCTTCGGACCAGAGCTGGACAGGAGGGATATAAAAACAGCGGAGGTTGTAGACAGGACTCTTACAGCTAAACGGAAACTACTCTTCCCTAAAAAAAACTTTACATGCAGTGTTAGAAGAAAGCAAACATACTGTCCTTCAGTATGTCGTCGTACAGGCTGCATAGCTTTACCGACAGCAAAGCGTACACAGGAGGAGCTGCACAGATACTGAAACATTTTTAATGGCAGCAGTAGCTGCAGTCAGCTGGTCCCGGCAGTCTGAGGGAGGGTAAACGAATTCCTCTTTCACAGCTACATTTCTCATCGGTTTGCTAGGTTAGTTTACATAGACATCAATTCAGATCAGAGAGTTCTCACTAACATTCAGCGGCGAGCATTACAAGGTGCGCCATTTCGGGCCAAATGACTCAAACGTAGTCCCTCTGCTGATCCTAGAATTTGCAGTTCATTCATGGATAGGGACACCAACTGCTTAAGAAAATGATTATTGTAAGTTGATGACTAAGAGTGATTTGGTTATTTAAAAAGTTACGCTTCTAGTCTGCCTGTAGGCAGCAGGATTTAGATTCTAAAGCTGAGCAAACTCCAGAGAAATTAAACAGGTTACGGCCCCTAGAACACTGTGAGAACACTGTATGTTCACGCAGATGTAATATTACGCACTGTCTTTAACTAACATCAGAAGCAACTGAAGTAGCCTGAGTGCTATCATCAAGTGTGCCAGAACAAGAATTATTTCAGTAAGTCTGAGGTCACCATCCGTACAAGTTGTTCCACCATGACATTCTGTGAATCGAACATAAAAGACAAGGGACACAGGGCCATAATCAGCCAAATGGCAACAGCAGTTGTTCATTTCTTGACTGTATGACAAAGTATTTCCGGTGGGTGCCACAGGCTGAACTAAAGCAAAATACAACTTAAATATTCTCAAGAATACTTGTAAAGATTTGCTGTTTGTGCGACCTAGTTAAATCACTTTTTAACAGGTAGGGAGTTAACGAGTAGGGACTACTTCACTGCTAGTCCACATGCATTTGAATTTTCTCTTTGATTAATATGTCCATAATCACTTTTGTACTTTTTTAAAAATTCCTTTAGTCATCTTATTTCTCTGGACAGTCTTTTCAGTCAGGATTTTGCTCTTGTATAGGGTGACATCTACAAACTGTCTTTTATCTACAAATCAAAGGTGTAAGATGATAACCACATCTTCTAAAATCACTTAGGGGTGGAATTTTTAGGCATGTCCCTATTTTCTTTAGAAAATTAATGTGCTTGATACGGTATTTCAGAAGTAGTAACTTGGAATTCTATGCATTTTAAGCTATGAAAAATAGAAAGCATCTGTGAAGATTCCAGGAGGGACAGACCTGGTGTTTGCAGACATTATATATTGGAGACTCTCCAGCCTCGCATTTTGTTGTCAATTTCAGTGTCAATTATGTTGTCGACTGTAGAGACTGGGATTTCAAGATGAATTTTGAATCACAGCAGCACTCTCACTGCCATGTAAATGAAGCAAGAAACTTATCTGTATGCAATTGATTAGTCATGTGTTGTGCACCAAGAATAAGCCTGAAATAAAAGCAAGATGAAGAGTGATTAGGCTGTTAATATAACTCTTGTTATTTTGTGGCGTGTCAAAACTATTATCCGTGTTGTTTATTGGATATAGCCTTGAAACAATCACACTCGATCTCTAAAACTGCAGAGTGCATAGATCATAATTAAGTTATAATTAAAAGGGAATTTGTCTTGTCAGTAAGTAGACATCTCC